CAGTTGTTTTAAAGGCAAATGATGATATCACATGAAATTATCAAATTATCAAATTTTGAAGTACCAGTCCAAAGGGTTAATTAGATCCTACACAGATGTGCGATAGTGAAACATATGTGTTCTTGATTTGAGAAGTCCTACTGATAGAGGTATGAATCTCACAGCTTTGTGTGAGTGTGTCTGACACTTGTATAGAGTGGAATATGCGCCGACATATATTATATAATAACATGTAGTTGATAATTATGAAAAAATAGAATTCGATGCGAATGATATTGAAAGTTGTTTTGTAATTTGATATTTTTCTTATATGTGTTAATTAGTAAATGGCTTGTTTGTTGTGATAGTACTGTGAAAAATGAAAGGTATTTTAAATTAAAAAATTGAGATTTTGAGATATCTCTAGAATTAAGAATTTATTATGTATTTGACTTTTATATAACTATGTGTAAAGGATCTCGATGTCTATATGCTTTAAATAAAATTAAATAAAATGAGATAAAAAATTAAAATGGACAAGAAGATATATGGAAATGTAATTTGTATTGTGTTGGTTGTTGGCAAAATGATTTTAATACAGATTTAAGGATTTGGAATGGATTTGAAATTAAATGATTTTAATTCAAGGAGTAATAAGATTTTGAACTGGTTTTTATTTTGTGAATGTAAACTCCTTCCATAGGATATGTATTAGAAAGATCAATGTCAAACTTTTTGAAAGAATTGTTTTTTTGTTGAGCGATTTTCTCATATTTAATAATATATTTAAGTTGGCGTATCTTACGCCCTTCCAAAAATATGTATTAGAAAGATAAATTTTAAACTTTTTGAAAGAATTGTTTTTTTGTTGAGCGATTTTCTCATATTTAATAATATATTTAATTTGGCGTATCTTACGCCCTTCCAAAAATATGTATTAGAAAGATGACTTATAATTTCATAAATTATTTTGTCCCGACGGTTTGAGCGGTTATCAAAATGGTTGCTTACACAATGCGTCAGCAAAATGTCGGTTGGGGTGCCCTTCTTGGCCTCCTGAGTACTCACCAAGATACCCCCAGCTCCCGCAAAACACCTCCCTTAGGTGCGCATTACCTGACGGCATTATTTTGCAATTATTTCAAATTTTTTAGATGTCTTTTGTTAAAGTTTGTTAACTAAAGACTTGAAAATAGCTTACCGCTTCAAGCTGCTCTCTTCCCGGTTCCTCTGCCGCAATCTTCTGTTTGATTGTGCGCAAAGCTCTCCTCCTTGTGAACTTTGCCTGACAGATACACCTGGGAGACAGCATTCGGACATCTTACCGCTTCAAGCTGCTCTCTTCCCGGTTCCTCTGCCGCAATCTTATGTCTGATTGTGCGCAAAGCTCTCCTCCTTGTGAACCATGGCTGATAGAAAGAACTGAAAGACAGGATAGGAGGAACATGCCAGTTCAAGTTAACTTGCAATATGCTTCTGATTAGTGATTTTAGATGAAAGATTAGCGAAATCGCATTTAATTTGGATAGAAGGATTCAATTTTATGAAGCAGGCTCGTAGAAAATATGCAGGAATAGCACAATCTTTTGCAATCACAACGCGATTGCAAAACTTTGACCGACAAGAGTGTATTATGCACTCTTGTCGGTCTGCATGTCTCATTCCGGGAGACATTGTCACTGCATGTCTCCCAGAATGAGACAATCTTCCGCATTCATAACTTGAATGCGGAAGTTTGATCGACAAGAGTGTATTGTGCACTCTTGTCGGTCTGCATGTCTCATTCCGGGAGACATTGTCACTGCATGTCTCCCAGAATGAAACAATTTATTGCAATCAGAATACGATTGCAAAACTTTGACTGACAAGAGTGTATTATGCACTCTTGTCGGTCTGCATGTCTCATTCCGGGAGACATTGTCACTGCATGTCTCCCAGAATGAGACAATCTTCCGCATTCATAACTTGAATGCGGAAGTTTGATCGACAAGAGTGTATTGTGCACTCTTGTCGGTCTGCATGTCTCATTCCGGGAGACATTGTCACTGCATGTCTCCCAGAATGAAACAATTTATTGCAATCAGAATACGATTGCAAAACTTTGACTGACAAGAGTGTATTATGCACTCTTGTCGGTCTGCATGTCTCATTCCGGGAGACATTGTCACTGCATGTCTCCCAGAATGAGACAATCTTCCGCATTCATAACTTGAATGCGGAAGTTTGACCGACAAGAGTGTATTGTGCACTCTTGTCGATCTAAATGTATCTTACAATCAAAGACACTTTCATACAATCTTTTCGAAGTTAAAAAAAAAAATTAATTATTTCTTTCTTTTGTTTATTAAATCGCCTTACTCACGTACTAATCTCTTTTAGAGACTCTATCGAGCTATCCCACATATAAACCCGTGACAATAATACATATTTACTCTCTTCATATTCTGATCTCATGACACATTATCGCAAAAACTATAATTATACAACACATCTCATAAAGTCTCATTTTAGCCCTATCTAAGCGTTCAAAACCTATTTTCCACACGTAATCTGATTCTTCTGGCTCCGCTGATTCGATTTCTGCTGTCAGATCGTGAAAATATGCATCACATAAAGAGATAAACACAACTCAAAATTATTGCTTTTTTTTCAAATTGTCTATTCATCCATCTTTACATATTTATTATCTCCTCCGTTTCCCTTCACAAATTCTTTTAATTTTCTGAATAATACGTATAATAAAATAAATATCTCAAAAACTAAAACACAAAATTAATGTTGGAAAATGACTAGATATAATCTGAACTTTTGAATTCATACATTTTTGGAAAAAATTGAATTTTCAAAAAAAGAGCTTATTTAAGGAAAATATTAAGTTGTGCAATTTGCATTTATCTCTTTATGTGATGCATATTTTCACGATCTGACAGCAGAAATCGAATCAGCGGAGCCAGAAGAATCAGATTACGTGTGGAAAATAGGTTTTGAACGCTTAGATAGGGCTAAAATGAGACTTTATGAGATGTGTTGTATAATTATAGTTTTTGCGATAATGTCATGAGATCAGAATATGAAGAGAGTAAATATGTATTATTGTCACGGGTTTATATGTGGGATAGCTCGATAGAGTCTCTAAAAGAGATTAGTACGTGAGTAAGGCGATTTAATAAACAAAAGAAAGAAATAATTAAATTTTTTTTTTTAACTTCGAAAAGATTGTATGAAAGTGTCTTTGATTGTAAGATACATTTAGATCGACAAGAGTGCACAATACACTCTTGTCGGTCAAACTTCCGCATTCAAGTTATGAATGCGGAAGATTGTCTCATTCTGGGAGACATGCAGTGACAATGTCTCCCGGAATGAGACATGCAGACCGACAAGAGTGCACAATACTCTTGTCGGTCAAACTTCCTAATACAAAATTTGATTCCCTTATTATCTTCTTAACAAAACTTAAGATTTCAATAATACATCATGAAAACATTCATTTACTACATTCACAGTTATTCCTTTCTATAAATTAACTCATTTAATAGAATCTTGTTTTTATATCTTATTATTTTCTCATAATACTTCTAATTCCTCTATTTCCTCTTCCACATAAAATTTAATTTTGTAATGCTATCATATACACTTAATGTTTTCAAATTTTCAGATTTAAATTTAATCTTTATTTTCATCATCATTTATAATCTTGTTCCTATATAAAGTTATAATAAATTATCGTCAGATTCTAATATTTATGATTCTTACTACTCAATTCAATATAATTATGTTAGTCACTCATATTCAGGAGAATAATTTAAAAATCTATAGCTCATATTTTGATAGTTATATATTTAGATGATATATATTGCAATTCCGGTTTCAACACGATCAAATGCCAAACCAAGACAAAATATATATGAATTTTCAAAATATCGATTTACATTAGAATCTATATCTAATTTTATCAATACACAAGTAGGGAATGTTCAATACATCTTTGAGCAACGTGAATAGCACAATTTTATAGGATTATTTGTTGATTATATAAAATATAAGCCAAATCGAATCTGCTGTATAGTACTTTAGTTTATCATTGAATGTTAAATGTGTTCAGATAAATATTTGAGTCAGATATCGCATTTTCTAATTTCAAAATTTATCTCATGAAGTTAGAATTTATTTGATCATACAACATCATGTTAGTCAAACTAGAGTTCAATGGCGATTCTAAAATGGAACAAATGCTTGTTTTATCAAAATGTTAAAATATTAATCTAAAAAACTTAATAACTAATCAAACCATTCTAGAATTATTATATACAGGTATAGGCAATCTAAATGCACACGGAATTCGGAAAATTAAAAAGAATATTTATGAGATTATTAAATCTTATGTAATTCAATGAAAAGTAGATAATATGAATATCTATAGGCTATATATCAACATATGAGTTTTTGGTTTGACCAATACTATACTAATGTGATCAAATTAATCTGATTTCTTAGATTTTCATTTGAAGCATTTGCAGTAGTAGGGGTACCTTTATATATTAACATATTAAAAAATTGCGCTCCGATTCGCAGTTTCTTCATGATTTTGAGATTGCATTAGATTTCGCGATGCAGAAAAAAATCACTTTAGATTCCCGTCAAACTCTAAGTATAAGCATGTCTCTATATGTAGAAACTGTCTGCGCTATTTATTTCCCGGCTCAAAAAACCACGGTGTCTGTGTGAGGAAAATACCCATTTTAGGACCCTGGGTACGGGGTCATGAAAATTTTCCAAGAGTTGGAAATATAGGGTATTTAGATTTTTCAAATAAGGTGTAATATTCAATATTATCATATAGTTTATTAAACAAAAGTGACTATTATGCGAATGTTAGTGAGAATAAACTCACAAAGACATATACATTCGATTATCCATGTCCCACAAATTCAGAATGCACCGAATATGTCATCAAACTTCATCCTGGTGTCTATAAATTCGAGCTTTATGGAGCATCAGGTGGTGCCTATCCAGGAAAAATGTCAGCCCACATTGACAAAAATGGCAAATGCATCAACGACGCATTAATAGCTATTGCCAATGGCAACACAAAATGCAACCTAGTTGGAAGTCGTGGTGGTGCTGGCGGGTACATATCCGGGATCATTAAATTATCCCATCGCATCACCGCTTTTGCTACTATAGGTGGCCAAGGAATATACGGAATCACAAGTACATTTTCAACATATGATTGCGATAAGATGGTTAAAGGCGGTTATGGCGGCAGGGGCTACGCATCAAACTTCTTTGATTCATATTCAAACTATGGATCAGGGAGTGGAGGTGGTCAAACCGCTGTCAAATTCCTTTCAAATGATCTTTGGCATCGTGTGATTGTGGCCGGTGCTGGTGGTGGTTCTGACAATATATATTCATATGGAAACACAGATGATGGCTCTGGAGGCTCAGGCGGTGACTTTACTGCACAAGGATTCTGGGTAGATGGTGTCCTTAATTCAGAAAAAATAGCTAATTCCACTTTTGGATTTACATTTGGAGCTGGTGAGTCAGCTCAACAAAACGGATCAAAAAATCCGAATGGAGTTCAAGAGGCCAGAGGAGCATCTGATAAAGTGGGCGCCGGAAGTGGTTGGTTTGGTGGGTTTTCAAGTCATAATGGAGATGGAGGTTCAGGCGGAGGAAGCTCATGGGCTCTCTCTGCGAACGCAGTAATCCCACAAGGAAACATTGATGCTAAAGGAAGTTTCTTTGAAGAAAATGAAAGTCATCCATACTCATTCAGTCTTGATGATGGATATATCTTCAGTGATGTCAAGACATATCCGGGTATTTGGAAAGGAAACGGTCGTCTTGTGATCACAATCCTCGATAGCATCATCTATCCTTCTTGTGTCTCCATCAATCGATCACATTTTTCATATTTCCTTTTATTTATTTTATTTTTCGAAACTCACTCATGACAATAATAAACAATCAACACAAACTAACCTATAAAGTAATTGCTACTTTCTTTTTTTAAAGATCAAATAATCATAATAAGAAATAATAAATAATCAGCATAAGTTTGTTTATACATATAAAAAATAAGCTTTACTCAGACAATATATCATCTATTAATCTTGAAATCGCAGATAAATATTGAGAATTTTCAATTTCTTCGTCAATTTCGTTTATTTTATCTTTCAGAGATAAAACAAACGTTTCGTATTCATTTCTCTTATCAATACCTGATGATTGGAGTTTTGAAAGAAAAGGAATAATATATTTTTCGGAATGTTCAAAAATAACACTCTGTTCGAACTCCAAGGATTGTATCAGCACACTTCCGAAAGAATGTATATCAAAATACAAATTTTCCTGAGAAAATGCTAATTCATTGAAAATCATCCACAAAATCGGCAGAGTTGCTAAAATAATTGAGTAGGATGAATTCTGTATAGCTTTTATAAAATTTTTCAAGTTCAAATTTTGAATAAGAAGCTGAAAAAGTTCTGGATTTATTGAATTTTTAATTAAATTCAAAGTATCAATGAGGAAATCTTGTTTTGAATCTATCGAACTTTCAACAATTCTTATCAGTTTAATAAATAATGAGTTATCCATAGAAAAAACTTGATTTTGAATTGCATCGTTAATAAATTGAAGAATTTTGGTATAAGAAAGCTTGCACCTATCGTCTTTAAGCATATCTAATGTATATACCCAAATACAAGCGTCATTTACAATTATTTCGATATTAAATTTTTGAATAAGAATTTTTTCCAAATCTGTAAATTTTTGGTCGAGTAAGTAATTGATTGGACAACTCATTACATCAATCATTACTTGTTTTATCAAATTTTCATCAATTTGATCAGGATTTAAGCTTTTAATTACAATATTAAAAAGATTAAATGCGAGATCAATACGATAGTTCATTTCCGTGTCAATATAGTATTCTGATATCTTGCTGAGCATTTCTTTAAACATTTCAGGATAATCATCTAAGATTTGTTTTTCAAGTATAAATTGGAGTGCGTTTGGATTCTCCAAGCATGATTTTATGAATTGGTAACCACAACTAAACTGTATATTATTGCTTGTTTGAAGTAAACATTTATATAATGATAATGTACTGTCTTTTTCGAAGTATAATTCTAAAAACTCGTCAGATTTTGATGATATTGATGTAAATATTTCTAATGATTTAAAGTAAAATGGGTTTTCGTTATCATGAATTTGAATAATTTGATCAAATTGATCAAGAAATGAGGATTCTGAAAAAAATGACTGAGGAAATGAATTTATACGCTGACATAAAACATGAATTTCACTAAGGAACTCGAGCAAAACTGGCTCAGGTATATTATTTAATGATTTTACGTGTTCAAATAGATCATTAAGAAGTTCCTTCTGATCATCTTGACAACCTTGCTCATCGGTATTACTTAACTCTGATTTGGTCGTTTGGAGCCGATTATTCATCTGAGAATCCATATTAAATCTAAAAAATTTTAAAGTTATGCATTATTCAAAGTATAATATATCCATGATGTTGTAATCCTTAATATAAGCATTTTGATCGATAAATTGTTATCAAAATTTAATATTGAATATTTAGCTTTTTTGTCGATATCTACACCTTTAAAAAGGCCATCGCTAGACTCACAATCATAAAGTAGTGGACCGTTTACACATACAACGAAGCATGCGCTTGTTATTTTCGAATGAATTGTTGTATATGATTTTCAGTTTGCAATGAGCTATTACTATGTAATACAGAGGTTTTTATTGCTGTTGCAAGTTAATCGAGGCCTAGTTCCAATAAAGATTTTTGGTATTTTTTAAAAAATCAAATTTGTTTAATAAAAAAGATATAAAAAAGAGAATTTTTATTAAGTATATAAAGCTGGGCGTGCTCCAAAGTCACTATCTTCCTTCTTTCCGCAAACCCATACAATACCACCGATAATAAGAAGCAAAAACGTAGGTACAACAACCGACGCCACTGTAACAACTTTAAAGTGTTCTCTTGTTGGAACACTGATCTCGCAGAACTCGCCAGCGTAGGCTTCTTTGCAAATGCAGTTTCCAAGGACTTCGTAGCCTCCTTCATGGTTGCATTTGCGTCCTTTGAGGATATTTGAAGTGAAGTTGAAGACGTGTTGTTGTGCTTCTAATACTTCTCCGGTGACATTTTGATATAAATCGTCACAATGGTAAGAATTAGGGATAACCTTAACTAATCTGTTGATTGATCTATCTTCTGTTGTTATGGACATTGTAGACCATGGATCTACAGCTCCATTAATGAAATAAGTTGAAGTTCCTCTGGCATTCTTTCCTCCGAACCTCTGATTGGTCAATTTGTCATTAGGAATTCCTCTGTTGAATAATTTACGGCAGACTCTGTCGAAATATTCAAGATTTATCGAATCTGATCTTAATTTACCGGAAGCAGTCTGGAACCAGCCAACCTGGTTGCATGTCATCCATGTCCATGCTCTGCCATCCTTTGTGGGAGCGTCTATTGATACATCTGTGTATTGTGTAAGATCAGAATCCCAAATTGACTCTCCTTGGAGGATTTCCTTAGTAACTTTAGCAAGTACGTCGATATATTCCGTTTTCGTGGCCTTTTCTGGAAGTTTATTCATTAAATCGCATAAATATGTTAAATTTTCTGAAGATCTCTTGTATTGAACTGGAGTAGCGATTGTATCAGCAACCATGTAGTAAAGAGTGGCATGGTCCTCAGGAGGAGTATCATTACCGATGAATTTCTTTGCAACTTCGTTGTAATCTTCTGTTTCAAGGTATTGAAATGCTTTTCTTGTATTTTCAGAGCATTTGTCGCCACCAACAGATGTAATTGCTTCGTAGCAGTGATAGTCGTATTCTGTAAAGTTGTTCTTAGCTTCGACAGGAGCTGATGAAGCCCAAGAAACGTCTGCAAGGTGTGGATATAAAAGGCGGAACCAGGAAGATAGTGCACCTGGATAAGAACCACCGATTACGCCAATACGTACAGTATGATCATAATCTTGCTTCATTGCGTTGATAAAATGAGCAAGATCGGCAAGACCTTGTTCAATTGTTAAATATTTGAGGTTTTCGATTGTAAGATTTGTAGGTGCTGAGTTTCCGAAGAAGCGGTGCTCTAAACCAAAAAGAACTGCGTTATTTTTTTCGGCAAGATCAACAGGAGCAAGACTAAGCATTCTCTTTCCTATCAACGGAGCTTCACCACCTATATAGAAAAATAATGCAGAAACATTTGCGGTTGAATTTTTCGTTATTTTGTAATATCTTTGATTAAACGTTTCTTGAGAAGAAGCATCGAAATGATCTAGTTTCTGAGTGAAATTTAATGCATCCTCAGGCATGTGAATGTAATACGGGATTTTCCTGAGAAAGAGAGAAAAGAAAAACATGAATAAAGAAAAAAAATTGAAAATTTTTTTTTTCTTTCGCTTCAAGAATTCTTCAATTTTTCTAACTGCTCATGATTTCTCATAATCTCTTATTTCTATATATATGGATGTAGCAGTGTTGTTTTCACCATTAAGGTGAATCCCTTGGAAGAATTATAAATTATTGAATTTGAAATTCTCGACAATTCTGCAAGAACGACTAGCTACTGACACATATTCAGGCAAAAAAGGCATATGGCAACTATCTGAACTCTCATACTCAATTAAAAGAATTATGTTATTCAATATAGCTATAATGGAGTAGAATAAGAGTGTTTTTGAAGAACTGAAGAATAAATTGATAAAAATTGGAGTGTGTTCAATGTTGTATTGGAAATATTTTCGAAAAGAATAATATATGAATTTGATATGCATTTCAACATGCATTATGCAGAGTTTTCGTATCTATTCAAAAGTGCGATGCTGAAATCAGCTTATTTCTATTAATTATACTCAATTTAACCAAAAGTCAAGAAAGAGGTGAAATAACAAAATCGATTTTGCAAGAACTGATGTTGTTCTTTGAAAAATGATGAGGAAGTAATTATATGAAATTAGTCAAATTTTTTAATGTCGACTTTTTTTATTGATGATATAGAAGTTTGTTTTCCGTTTCCACAAGCGTATCCGGAACAAATTGAGTATATGACTCAATTAAAGCTCTCTCTTGATGCTGGTGGTCCTTGCGTTTTAGAGATGCCTTCAGGAACTGGTAAAACCGTTTGTTTGTTATCTCTTATTCTTGCTTATATGAGTCAAAGAGAAAATGCAGGCCCTCTTATATACTGTACACGTACAATTCCAGAAATGAATCAAGGTATTGAAGAATTAAAGCGTGTATGCAAACATAGACGCGAAAAATATAATCAACCATTCGATAATGACTTACTCGCAATCTGTCTCGCGCGTAGATATTACTTATGTGTAAATCAAGATGTTGCAGAAAGACCTACGAAGCAAGAAGTCGATGTTGGTTGTCGTGCACGTACAATACGTACCGATGAGAAGCACTGTGACTTTTTTGATCACCAATTACTACGTCCTCGACCAGGAGTTTATTCATTAAACGAAATCCGACAATTTGGTGTTGCAAATGGTTTGTGTCCATACTATCTTACAAAGAGACTTATCTCTGAAGCCACCGTCATCTTCTGCTCCTTTGCTTACACTTTAGATCCAGGAGCAAGTGAAACAATTTTCAAAACAATACATAGTCAAGGAATTGTTGTCTTTGATGAAGCCCACAACATCGATGACATTTCCTGCGAATTCATGAGTATGTATGTTGATCAGCCGACCCTTGATTTGGCTGCAATTGGTGTAGACGCTGCTAAAGAAAGAGACAGAGAAATTCGTGAGAGAGAAAAAGAAAAATTACAAAAAGCTTTTGATAAAATGAAAGACAATTTAAAGAACAAAGACTTTGTATCACCAGAAACACTAGAGATCTTTTCTCATCGCAATATTCCTGAGCATATTCTCAAGAAAGCTTTGCCAAGTTCAATTCGTGATTTCGATGATTTTATTGACAAATCTCGAAAACTCATAAGATTTTTAACGAGTTTCATACAAGGAAGTGAACGTCCTACCATCACAACTAAAGCAGCAGATGCTCTTATGCATGGAGAGACTAATGCTGTTGATGCACCTCTTCAAACTGCAGAAGGAGAAACAGAAAGATATTCTCCGAATTCTGTTTTAGGATTGATATATTCTAAAACAGGATTAGATGCAAGCACATTGATAAAAATGCCTGAACAACTCAGTAACTTTATTGTTGGAAACAAATTGCCTGATTACGAGAAATACGCTGCTTTGGTTGATGTATTAGAATTCGCCAGTTTAATTGGAGAATTCGATCAAGGATTTACTGTTTTTGTTGAAAATATGATGCAAGGTCCTGTAATGCAAATGGCTTGTTTAGATCCTACATTTACATTTAAACCTGTTGTTACTCATTTCCAGAGAGTTGTCATCACATCAGGAACGTTAAGTCCTCTCTCTTTCTATCCGAAAATGTTGGAATTCGAGCCAGTAACAAGTGCAGGATTTACGATGTCTTTTTCACGTCAATGTTTGCTTCCTATCATTGCATCTAAAGGATACATGAACGCGCCATTGACATCATCATATAAGCAAAGAAGTAACCCGAATGTTGCGATTGGTTACGGTCTTTTATTACTTGAAATGTGCAAAACTGTTCCAGATGGAATTGTCGCATATTTTCCTTCGTATATTTACATGCATATGCTTTTGAAAGAATGGATGTCTAGTGAAATAATGAGTGATATAATGAAATATAAGCTTGTTTTCATAGAAACACCAAATGCAGAAGAAACAGATAACACATTAGCAAATTTCCGCAACTCTTGTGATAATGGAAGAGGAGCTGTTCTTCTCGGTGTCGCAAGAGGAAGAGTTTCAGAAGGAATTGACTTTTCTGATCATTACGGAAGATGTTGTATTTTGTTTGGTCTTCCTGTGAGAAATACAACAAGTATTGTTGTGCAGGCACGTGCTGATTACTTGGAGAAAAAGATTGGTGTGAAGAAAGAAGACTTCTTGGTCTTCGATGCAATGAGAGCTGCATCGCAATGCATTGGAAGATTGTTGAGAAGTAAAAAAGATTATGGTGTTGTGATTATGGCTGATAGAAGATACGCAAGAAAGGAAGTTAGGTCGCAATTGCCACACTGGATTAATGAATTCCTTGATAACAGAGCTGCAAATGGTAGTAACACTGATGAAGCTATTGATAAAACAAGAGAATTCATGTTGCAAATGGCTCAGCCTTTCGTTTTGGATATTTCAAAGTTAAAGAGAATGTCAGAATTGAAAGGAACTACTGCTACTAATGATAATGATCAAAAAGAAGAAATGGATCTCCCTGATCCCGACCCACTTCTTTCTTAATTTATAAAGTTTATGTTTGTAGTTTTTTTTTTATATTTTTGTTGATAAATAAAATTTTTTAAAATATGATATTAAGAACTTTGTGTTAGTAATATTTGTTAGATGCCTTTTTATACTCTATATACATTATTGAAATAATTCAAACTTTAATGAGTTCAAATGAATAATTGCCAGTTTAGTATCAAATTAAGAATAAAAATAGTGTATGTTATTAATTTGATAAAATTATAGAGATGGGAATGAACTTGGAATAAAAAATTAATCGAGAAAATATTTAATCCTAGCCACAAAGGCTGAAATAATAAAATAAATATTATATATGAATCATAGTAAAACATATATAATTCCGGCACCGTGAAAAATCGGAAACCAATCGGATTCAAAATAAGCCATTAAAGCAATGGTTAACCTAGTGGAATAATATTGTTGGATTCTGTATAGTAAAATCTGAAGCTCAAAATGGTAATTAGTAAGACTAACGTTTTATTATAATTTCGAACAAAAACTTGAAAAATGATTCGAATTTAGGTTATACAAATGAATAATAAATGTTTATTTTAAATTTACTCGCACTTGAAGCCGTTTTCAAGGAAGTAGATGATAACCATGACAACAGCAATGATGAATTGCATTGAAGCAGCAGCGATACCGAGATCGTTAGATGTACCAAGGATGGCAACGCCTGTGAGAATGTAGATAAGAGCACGAAGGATGACAGAGTCAACAAACTTGAAGTATTGTGAGATGAAAACAAGTCCGAGTTCAGCAACAGCCATAACAAGGGAGATCATGCCATACATGAAGAGGGAAGCACGAGCGTAGTAGCGCCTGCAATAACTTCGATAGCGAAGGCAAGGAATGGGATAACTCTCTTGACAATGTCTGGAATAGCTACCATTGCAAATTGTTTAATGAAGTGATAAAAAACGTTATTTAATTTTTGAATACTTTCTTGTTAACGTATTAAAAAGGTTATTTGTTGTTTCATAAACGGTTTTCAATTCTCATATTATTTGTAAGATCTTATTGGGCAATATAACAAAACCGCTTTTTATTTGCTTATCAAAATTCAATAGAAATTTACGGCAATTCTAAATACGTTATAAATTTATAATCTTAACAATGTAACTACATTTTAGTATAGTATGGTTTTAGATCACTTATAATTATTCTATTCAATTTCGTATTTAGTATAAAATTTGCATTAATATTATTTAAATAACAATTTGGATATGAAAGAGATTTCAGCTCAAATGAACGATAAGGTATAATGAATTGAGATAGCGCAATTGAACTTTTGAAAATGAGATAACGAAACAGCTCTCAAAAAATTCAATTTAACTATAATTTACTGATCGTTACAAAAAATGGCAACTATAATTTTTATTATATTATTGTATACTCAAATTTTATAATTGTATCAAAATATTTCAAAAGAAATGAAATAAGGCGTATCATAAAAATACGTTTACCAAAAATTAGATATAATTCTTAGTGAGTATTATTAATGCTAAGTTTCTATATAATTCAATTGAAATAAATTTTGTTATCGGTTGAAATTGAAACATCCGTTTTTGTTATTTGATTTGATCCATCAGTGTAATAAACAGAAATTCATCAAAAGTGACAGCTCTCAATTTTTTGACATTTGTAAATTCTAAATTGAATGAGAAAAATGAAATAATACTAAGCATAATACAATATTCTAGATTTAATTATAATTAGGAAAAAGTTAGTTTTGAGAGTACTTTTCATAGGCATATAGAATGAAATCTTCTGAAAAATAATATCACATAAACTCATATTATTTTCTAATATATAACTATTTTATATAAAAATCAAATTCAATGATCTTAAAAGCGAAGGATAAACCTCAAAATTTACGAATATAATGAGTGGGAATAGGCGTAAAGCAAAAATTGATATTTCATATGGTTTTATGATAGATAAGCATTATATTTCCACTCATTATATTCGTAAATTTTGAGGTTTATCCTTCGCTTTTAAGATCATTGAATTTGATTTTTATATAAAATAGTTATATATTAGAAAATAATATGAGTTTATTTGATATTATTTTTCAGAAGATTTTGTGTTCTTCTTCAAAATTTTATTTTTTATTAAAAAGAATCTCTACAAAATATACATTTACTTTAATTAGTATTTAAAAACGTGCTCTATCAAAAGTTCCAAAAATTCAATATTTTAGCTTTTCTGAGGTGTCACTTTTGATGAATTTCTGTTTACAACATCAGTAGATTATATTTTAAAAAGAAATGCTTTCCAATGATTTTCGATTTTTTTTCAAAACAATTAAAAGTTTCTTTTACATGTGGCAACTTATTTATATGGATTCTTTCTGATTGTATTATCCAGGTGAAGAAAGAAGAAATTATTATTTATAGAAAGTTCCAAATCATTAATGAGAATCTAAATTTCTTCATGAAATAGCGTATTTGAGCCCGTATAGTTAGAAACCTGCATTTCTTCTCAATGAGGTTAGAGAACAGTTCTAAATTTAACATGTGGTAAGCAATTACGCCATTTAAAAATCATAACGAAAAATCGAATGTCGAATCGTTCAGATATGCATAGATTTGGTATGAGTTCTTCAAAACAGATAAAAGAGATATGGTTTAACCATAAATTCAAAAAAAATAATCTTTAAAAAGTGTTGCATCAAGAAAAAATAAATTACGATTAAAACAATGATCAGCTATTACTAATTGTCATCTTGAATAACTTTAAATATTTTGAAAATACTTCTTTTCGAAATTTCAAAGTATATATTTGATTGTTTAATACTGCAAGCTTAGGAAAATGGATGCATTATAATTTCCTCTATTATCTTTGATATAAAGTTCAAAATCTTTCTCTATAATTAGAATCAAATTATAGTTCTTATATCGAAGGATAAATGGTGATAAAATCTTGCTTGTGAGGTATGTAGAATAGTTCTTGATATTGTGTACCATCTAATCCTAAAAATATAAAGTGTACGTTTACCAAAAAAATTATGAGAAGTGTTAGAAGTCTGGGTTTGCAACGAATAAATGACGAAATAGAAAGAAATGACAGACTCAGATTCTATAATGAAGCTGCTCGTGATGATAAAATTGCAAGAATTAGACAAAACTTCATTGATGATTCTACAAGACATTACAACGCAAAAGAAACTGCCAGGCGTGTTATTGCAAGAAGAGAAGAAGCAGAAAAGGATTTAGAAAGGAGACGTGATTTACTTGCTGAATTATTGCAAAGAGATGAAGAAATGTATATCGATGAAATTCAACGCAAATTCGAAACACCGATGGAGCATCGTGCTAGATTACAACAAAAATTAAATCAAATTCGTGCTAAAAACGAATCTCAAAGACAACAAGAAGTACAACGAAAATTAGATCAGCAGTGGATTGAAAATTGCGATCCTTTACGTGCTAGAATTTCACAAGAAATAGTCAAAAAAGTTGCCCAGGATCGTCAGGAGCAAATCAAAGAAAAAGAAGGTCATAAATTTGATTACTTGCGTGAAGAAGATCAATATGCAGAAGATGTTAGACGTGGTGTACAAGAAGATCAAGAAAGGAGGAGACGTGAATATGAAGAATTCCGAAATAGACAGCAGGAAAACAAACAAACCTGGACTTCTCAAATGAAACAAAGGAATGATGATGTTTTACGTCAAAAACGCGAAGATGAAGAAGAAGGACTTCGTTTTCGTCGTCAAAATGAAGAAGATATTGCTAATGCTCGTCGTCAGGCTGAAGAAAAAGCTCGACAACAAGAAGAAAGAAGAAGAGATCTTGACAGACTGAATTCTCAGCAAATGGCATATAGAGCTGCAGAAAGACGTCGTGATGAAGATCTAGATCGTAAATACCTGTATATGGCACAAGAAGAATTACGTAAGGAACAAGAAGATAACTTAGTTAGAAAACTTGCAGCTCAAAAGAAGATGGAAGAGGAGAAGAGATTATATTTAATGCAACTTAATAAGAAGAAAGAAGAAGATAATCGCGCAGAAATGTACATAAGACGTGCACAGTACGAGCAGCAGGCAAAGGAAGATGCCGAGCGACAAAGAATGGAAGAGAAGAGAAGGAACTTACAGTTAGATGCTAGATCTTATCAGGTTTGGCAAATGGAAGATTTAGAAAGAAGGAAAGAAGATCAAAAGAGAAATAAGTATTTCGAGAAAAGACAAAATGAAATCGAAACACAAAGAGCTTTGCAATTACAAAGAGAGGAAGAGGATGAGAGAAGAATGAAAATACAATTACAAGCTCAAATGCTTAGAAATCAATCAAATCTCAAAGCTAGAAATGATGAGCTCATGAGAAGAAGAGAAAGGGAAGAAGCAGAAGAAACTGTTAGAAGATGGAAGGAAGAAGAAAGGAGAATCGAAGAAGTAATGAGAAATCCTCAACAGTATGTTTTTCAAGGTAGGTATAAGGGATTTAAATAAACTATTTATTATTATTTTGTTTTATTGTCAAATACACATCTCATGTTTTTTTGAGAAATCCATAATCAAAATTGAAAACTATTTGCTTGGATTTAAATTCTAATGCATGTTTATCATGTACCTAAAATAATACTAAAATTGTAGTAATTTGCAAAAAAATAGCTTCATTAAAACAAAAATTGAGTTATCCTCATTTAGTCAGCAATAAATAATCAAATGGACTATATAATAACATTAGAGATCTTCATTGTCGTATTCTTTTAATTAAAATTTATGAAGAATGTTTCTCAAATCATTATTCCGGAATTAAAAAACACTAAAGTTCGTTTTCAGGATTCAAACAGAAAATCTCTGTTAGTTATGTGATTTGAAATTTTGGTAGAATATTTTAAGCTTTCGAATTAAGGTATTGAAGATATATTTATGAAAAATGGTATAATTAATATATCAATGCATAAAAATGAGTTTTAATTCATGAATATTAACTTTAGATTAAAAATTCAGTGCATGAAATGTATAATTCAAATAAATATGTTGTGAGAGATATACAATAAATTCAAATGGTATTCAGTTGAAAAAGAAGCTTGGTAAAAGCTGGTGTTGGTCGATTTGAGGCAAATCTTCAGTCATAACAGGAGGAGGTAAGATATAATTACCACTAAGGCGAGTTTCATCAGCGTATCTAACATGTATTGGTTTCGTCCCTTCCACGACAATTTTATTGTTCATAAAATGCATTGCGTTTGTTGCCTCTTCTTGGGAATAATACTGGATAAAGCATCTCCAACTCTCATTATCAAGTGAAGTAACGGAGTGCTGAACGCACTGGATGATCCTTCCATAAACTCCGAACATACGTCTAACATCTTCTATACTTACTGAATTAGGAAGCTTCTTGATGTAAAGCATGCTTGAAGCAATTTCCTGGCGTTCATGGCTTTCTGCATATTTCGCAAGCAATTTTTTGTTTCCGATTGTCATTCCATCAATACCTCGGATAGCAGCCGCTGCTTGTGAAAGCTCTTTAAATCTTACGAACCCAAAGCATCGGGATTGACCTGTTTCCAAATTAATCATAATTTTGCAGCAAACGATTTCACCATACTGAGAGCATAAATTTTTCAAGTCATCCTGATTGTAGTTAGGCGGAATATAATTAATGAAAACGTTTGTGGATGGTTCGATAGTTTGTGATCTTGTCTTCTTAGTTTGAATCCTATCCTTAACAAAAGCTTCCGATTTGGGCCTCTCCCATCGATTAATTCGGCGGCGTGGAGCTGCAGCAAGATTTCTATCCTCTGACATTAATAATGTTATATACGAAAACGATAAAAATGGTTTGACAGAAAAGTGGCAACTTTACGTGTCAAAAATAGAAAAGGTGACATTTTATTCGTAATATTAAAATGAATCATCATAATCTTCTTCATAAGGGTCTTCATAATCTTCTTGATATTCTTCTTCATAATTTACTTCGTATTCTTCTTCTTCATTACTATCTTCTTCTATTTCAACCGAATTCGCCTTATTTTCTTCTTCTTCAACTTCCTCGCCTTCTTTTTCCCATTCATCTTCTTCGATTCCTTGGAGCTCTGGCATCTCATTGGCCATAAGTGAACCTGGAAGAAAATCTTGAGAGACTCCATCCACAATCCATTTTGCCGGCATTCCCCTCGTCCAAATTGGAAGTTTCTTCCACATTTCAGATGGGCTATAGTGAATTTGTTTTCCATTCACATAATGAGTTGGTAATGCTAGATGAGGTTTAGCATTATAGTACTCAACCCATTGTTGAATCTTTGCCCATGACAACTCTCTGCTCTCTATGTTAGGCCACAAGCGCTCGATTTTCCCATTTTGGTATGGGCAATGCGGACAATATATACATTATTGATCCCCGAACCCTCATAGCCTTTAGGAACTCGCCTTTATTCTCGCCGCCATTATCGGACCAAATTGTATGTGGTGGTCCATAACGGGCTATTGCTCTCTTAATTACTTTCACTGTTTGGCTAGCATGTTTTGACGAAAGATGCTGTCATTCTATGATGAGCCTTGTGCAGTCATCAATCACAGCATAAAGAATCTGACTTCTCTTTTTGCCAAGAAAGTGGATATCAACGTGCCATATTTGGTTAGGAAAGGCAGCTAAGTATCTTGTCTTTCCTTTTGGCCGATAGGGTCCCCTTGGACGTGCCAAGCCCAGCTCTCTAAAAGCTCTTTCTACCATATGTCTTGAGGGGGGATGTGGAAGAGGGTTTGTAAGATATTTAATGTTCCTCAGCTCAGATGGAAATGATAATGGAGACTCTTCAATCATAAGTCCGGAAGGAATTGTGGAAGAAATTTGATTCAGGGGCTTAAAACGTTCAATAGCGGAGAACCATGCTTGGGTAGGCGTTGGCTGTGGAACAATACCCGTCTTCATGTCCAAAAATGCCTCAAAATGAGATTTGGCATATTCGATATCTTTATTTATTTGGTTATAGGCGGAGATTATTCCAAGATGGCCATGCTGCTCAATTAGGTTTCTAATAGTTACCTTAAAATCTTTTCGTACATTAACTTTGGGTCTCCCGCGCTTAAGGGGAATAGACACAGATGGGTGAGGCTGAGGCTGAGTATTGGCAGAGAGCTGTTGCTGTGGGGGAGTGTTGGCAGAGAGTTGTTGCTGTGGAAGAGTGTTGGCAGAGAGCTGGCGTTGAAGAGGAGTATTGGCAGAGAGTTGTTGCTGTGGAAGAGTGTTGGCAGAGAGCTGGCGTTGTGGGGGAGTGTTGGCAGAGAGTTGTTGCTGTGCCAAGGTGTTGGCAGAGAGTTGTTGCTGTGCCGAAGTGTTGGCAGATAGCTGGCGCTGAAGAGGGGTGTTGGCAGAGAGCTGGCGTTGAAGATGAGTGTTGGCAGAGAGCTGGCGTTGTGTCTGGGTGTTGGCAGAGAGTTGTTGCTGTGGAAGAGAGTTGGCAGAGAGCTGGCGTTGTGTCTGGGTGTTGGCAGAGAGTTGTTGCTGTGGAAGAGAGTTGGCAGAGAGCTGGCGTTGTGTCTGGGTGTTGGCAGAGAGTTGTTGCTGTGGAAGAGAGTTGGCAGAGAGCTGGCGTTGTGGGGGAGTGCTGGCAGAGAGTTGTGGCTGTGGGGGAGTGTTGGTACTGCTGGCTAATGAAAGCTGGCGTTGTGGCGGGGTGTTGGCAGAAAGTGGGCTTTGTAGAGGAGCGTTGGCTGTTGAGAGCTGTTGCTGTGGAACAGAGTTGGTAGTGCTGGCTGATGAAAGCTGGCGTTGTAGAGGAGTGCTGGCTGATGAGGGTTCTTCCTGTATACGAGAGTCGTTTGAACTTTGTAATATCAAATAATCGGTAAGGAGAGTGTCATCTCTGTGTTTCAAAATGGATGAACACTCGTAGAGTCGATTATTATATTTAATGTAGAAAGTAGTAAACTCTTGAAGTTTGTATGTATGATGTAAGTACTCTTCAATAGTAATTAGTCTATTACATAAGAGAGCTTTGTAAAATGTTATCTTGTTAATTGATGAACGAATAGTGTTGTTGACTAATGGAACATTTGTGAGAACAATGGCTAACGGTGTGCGCCTTTGAATCTGTGCTAGAGCTGTTTCAAGCCAAGCTGAATCAACGAAGGTGTACAAATTCATTTTAAACAAATTTGAAATGAAATAATTTGTGAGAATTTGAGAATAATTTAATTATTTCAGAAGTCTATATTGAAAAAATATTCTTAACAAAATTAATTTAAATGGTTCAGAAAATAAAAAATTAAAATTAATGGAAAAAACATGATTACGAATAATTAACAATAATAAATAAAAAAAAAAAAAAAAAAAAAAAAAAAAAAAAAGGTAGTGGGGCTTCCAGGGGCTGCGCCCCTTCTAGCCCCGAAGATGTTTAGTATAAATGAAGTTTTTATTCGGAAAATTGTTAGTCTTCTTGGTCGAAAACATTATATAATGTTTCACTTTTCACAAATTATATATGTTTTCATGTTTTGTCAAGACTTCTTCTTCGTAAATGTTTTGTCAAGACTTCTTCGTAAATGTTTTGTCAAGACTTCTTCTTCGTAAATGTTTTGTCAAGACTTCTTCGTAAATGTTTTGTCAAGACTTCTTCTTCGTAAATGTTTTGTCAAGACTTCTTCGTAAATGTTTTGTCAAGACTTCTTCGTAAATGTTTTGTCAAGACTTCTTCGTAAATGTTTTGTCAAGACTTCTTCGTAAATGTTTTGTCAAGACTTCTTCGTAAATGTTTTGTCAAGACTTCTTCTTCGTAAATGTTTTGTCAAGACTTCTTCGTAAAATCAGACAAAAATAATGTTTAGGTGAAGAGGTGAGATTTCACCTGTTTTTTCACCTCATTTCTCACCTCTTGAATTTTCATGAAATTTACACCAAAAATATATTTTAGGTGAAGAGGTGAGATTTCACCTGTTTTTTCACCTCATTTCTCACCTCTTGAATTTTCATGAAATTTACACCAAAAATATATTTTAGGTGAAGAGGTGAGATTTCACCTGTTTTTTCACCTAATTTTTCACCCTCTTGAATTTTCATGAAATTTACACCAAAAATATACTACTAGGGTCATTTACGAAGAAATCTCAACAAAGTCTTTACGAAGAAATCTCAACAAAACATAGACAAGAAAGTTCATGAGAAATTAGATGAAGAAGTCTTAACAAAGTCTTTACGAAGAAATTCATGAAAATTCAAGAGGTGAGAAATGAGGTGAAAAAAGAGGTGAAATCTCACCTCTTCACCTAAAATATATTTTTGGTCATTTACGAAGAAGTCTTAACAAAGTCTTTACGAAGAAGTCTTGACAAAGTCTTTACGAAGAAGTCTTAACAAAGTCTTTACGAAGAAGTCTTAACAAAGTCTTTACGAAGAAGTCACAATAAACATCTGTCAAAAACCGCTTTTTAACTTCACTTAAAATGCCACGTAAGCTACGTAAGAATATACGTAAGAGGAAGAGAGCATTGAAACATCCAATAGTAAGACTAACACCACAACAACAGTTGCAACAACAAATGCTGAATGACCCCACTATGTTGCAACAAATGTCAAGCAACCCTATGCTTTTAAACCGAGTTCTTGGTGCACAGAGTGGAGGTTTAAGAGCGGCACTTTTAGCGAAAATGGCAGGCTATGGTGGAGCTGCAGACGGAACAGCCTATAACCCTCAAAGTCAAATGAATTTGAGTTCACTCAAAAATCAAATAACAGATGTCAAAAAGTCAAACATAGACATACAGAAGCAAATAAGTGAAAACGAAAAGAAACTAGAATATGACAGACACACAAAGAAACTCAATGAGTTAAACGTAGAGAAAAGAAGAAAGAAGAACAACTGAAAGAACTAAGTACAGAGGAATATGCGAAAAAAGTGTCAGAAAAAGCAGCAGAAGTAGCAAAAATGGAACAAGATGTCATAAATTTGAAAAACCATACTACTCGATATAAAGTACTGAAAGATGAAGAGATAAAACAAAAAGCCCTGAAGACATATATGGATAGCGATGAGTATAAAAAAGAAGTTGAAGCAACTGTAAAGGCAGAAAAACTTTTACAGTTGCAAAACCAAACCGTACAGTATGAAAACTTAGCACAAGAAAGTAAAAATAACGACGCAGCCATGCAAAAGGCAATGAAAAGCGCAGAATATATAAAAGCTAACAATGACTGGTTAGATGCCCAAGCCAACGCTAAAGCAGCCCAACTCATAGGGTCAATAAGGACAAAAATACAAGCGGATGAAGACAGTTCAAATGAAGCTTTAACAAATGCTGACTTTAAGAACGCTTTCGAAGCTCTTCATAGTAAGGTGAAACAAGTGAACGACTTCTCATCTGGAAAGAAACTGAAGTCTGAAGGTTTCGACAAAGAGTTAAAAGAAGTAGCACAAAATATGACGAAAATAACAGATGCAGCAACGAGACAGGCAGTTCAAAGTGCCTATGACGCCGTTAGAGCAACTGTTGTGAAAAGTCAAGAAAAAGAGTTACAACAGACCAAAACAGACCTAGTAAATGCTTTCTTAAAAACGAAAAGTCAGGTAGGACACTATGCTGCAGATGGAACATATGTGCCAGCTGGTGGAACTTATATACCACCAAACCCTCCAAGAGAAGCACCTGCACCAGGACTACCTAAAACATTTACATCGTCACATGGACACAGACACAGGCATGCACCAAAACCAACACAACAACCAGCACAACAACCAACAGTTCAAAATCCAGCACAACAACAACCAGAAACAGAGCAAGGACATAAAAGAAGTAGAGAACAAGGAAACCAAGAATTCTTAAAAATGCTTAAAGAAGAGTGTGGTTTCCCAGATAGTATTGACTTTAGTGACAGATATAAAGAAGCTATTAGAAAGTTCAAGGATGGAAATACTGACCCGGACCTATTTAGCTTTATGGCTCAGCACCAAAACGGATATAATCTCAAACCTGGAAAATACAAGCTCGCTAAGGGATATGATTTAATAGCATATCATCCAAATGACATGGATGAATTTACTCCGAGATATTTGATGTCAGAGCTAAATGACAATTCAACTTTCGTCATGAAACGCGTAAAAAATAGAGACGGAACGAAAGAACAAAAGCTTATGAATGCGGATGACGTAGATAGGGAAATTGTTGAAAACGGTCTCGGAATATATGAAATGCCAGCAGATGAGGTACAAGAAACTCCACAGGAAGAAGTTCAGATACAACCAGACATGGAAGAAATAGTTCAGCAACAACAGCTAGAAGAGCCTGAAGGAAACGAACAAGTCCCTCCTTTGGAAACTAACTTCACAGAACTAGATGAAGATTTGGAACAGCCGAAAAATCTTGACCCTCAACAAGAGTATGCGGAGAATATGGAATATTTCCAAGAGTCTAAAAAAAATTCGGCTGACATAGTAGAAGAATATCGAAAAATGTTTGCCGACATACAAAAGACTCCAACACCAGATGAAAATATTCAGCATAGAATGGAAGTACTGAAAGAAAATGTACACAAATACAACAACCCTTTTTACTTACGAGCATTTAACGTTCAATCTTCGGATGAACTCGGTGAAAATAAAAGGTTAAATTTCAAGAAAACATATAGAAATGAAACATTGTTTAAAGTTCATTCAGAACCTAACCAAGATGGAAACAAACCTACTTTTGTTTCTGCAGACGATGGAACTACAATGAGATGGGGTCATAAAGCTAATCCGGATAGGTGGTTCATAAACTTACAACCACAATTCCAAGAAGTTGTAGACGCAATGGAAGTCAATGGTGAACCAGATATAGCTGGTATTTTAAGCGCGGCTTTAATGCCATTGAAAGATATGAAACATGCAGATATTTTGGACCAGTATGAAATGAACATGGCTGATGGAAATATAACACCTGACGTTCTAGAACATTTATCTCAAAGAACTACACAGAACCATAGAGATGGTATATTTGGTGAAGAGTTTAGAAAGAAAGTTAGGGAGAGAGAAGGAAGAGAACCTATTGTACATGACCTTGCAAACGAAAGTTTACAAAATGTCATAAAAACTTACTTTGCAGACGATGAATCGAGAAGGGATGAATATTTAAGAAAACTCAAATGGACAGTACCAAATGAAATGTTAGTATTGAAAAACATGTTCCTTGACAAAATAAAACCAACTACAGAAATAAACGACGCAAGACTGAAAGATTGGGTAAAAGCTTTCCCATTCACAAAAGATATAGTTGGTAACATGGAAAGAAAACCAGAATGGCTACAAAAACATATATTTGGAAACGAGCTTATTCCATATGGACAGGCACTGTTTGAAGCGCTTGAACCGGAAACTCAGGAAAGAGTCATGCAAACAATACGCGAAGACTCAAATACAGACTATGACAAACTCTTTCTAGGATATAGGTTACCTGAGATGGGCGACCAGAGCCAAAAGGCAAAAAGGACATGGGAAATTTGCAACATACTAGATGAACATAATGCAAAGATGCAACAACTTCAAGCAGAGGGCAATGAAGGAAAAAGAAGAGTTAAAAACTCAGTCAGGAAGAAAGTAAAGCTTGGTCCACGTGGGTTCTATTATGACATATAAACCCAACTATTCTATATTTTTACCCATATGAAATGTACGCCGCTCAGAATATAACGCCAACAGTTTTGGATGCTATGAATGGAAATGTTTCCGAATGGTATAACGAATGCGACAATGCCATTAGAAGGTCAGAAATAGTTCCTGGAACTTACGAATATACAACTGCTGTTTCTTATGGAAACGTAGGTGAGTTTGGAGAAGGTTCTTCAACAACAGTAGATATTGCTTGCGACAGGTTTCATATAATTTCTATTGACAACTCTTTCTTATACGTGGAACAAGACATTGAAATAAAACCTTCTGCCAAGTTGTCTGACAAGAAAGGTTGCAATGGAATTTTCTATGTCGGATACCAATATGCTCCAGAAGTTTTCATGGGATATAAGATATATTCTAACTCTGACTTAGTTCAAACAGTAACATGGGCAAACTATGAATGGTTCGCTTTGAGAAACTCAGTACAACCACAAGCTAGAGAACAAACAGACCAGTATGCAACTATTGAGAAAATAAGAAGACTTGACCCTAACGTTCCAGGAGTTTATGTTAACCTTTCTGGTTCAGATGGAAATGCTGTCACTAAAGTAAAACTGAAACTTAGAGTTCCTTTGTCATCTTTCCTCATCTTCAGGTTTTTAAGATACTTGCCAAACTGGGCAGGAAAAATTTCTATCGAACTTACTCCAAGCAAAAATAACTTAGTCATTGCACCAACACAAGACCCATTCACTATTACAGAAGTAGTGGGAACAAATAAAATGTCATTCGCCGACTTTTGCAAAGACAAAGTTGACTTAGACTTTGGTTTCTCAAACCTCAACACTGAAGTAAACTATTATTTCAATGCTGCTGGAACTGCTTGGGACCCAGTTAAGTTTACATGCGAAAAGTTTGAATGCAAGAGAATAGAAAGCAGACTTGCAGTCTATATGTTGGACCCAGATATTTCAAATGCTTTAGCTGCCAAATATATTGCAGTTCCACTTATGTTCCCTATACACCAAATATCTGTCAAAGACTTTGCAGGTGAAGTTGGAAACCAAAGTGCTGACCCAGGTGCAAGAACAGATATTGCCTTAACAACTGCAATGAAACATGCAGATACTATGTTTGTACTGTTCAGACGAACTATAAATGACTATTCTTGTTTCTACAACCCTGTATTAAATATCATATAAACATAGATTGGCAAATATTATCCAAGAGAAGAATATTCTACAGTTGAGGATATGAGGTCATACAACTTGACATTAGATGCTATGAACTTTAACAACAACTTCACAACAACCATTAACCCTGAAATGCAAAGTTCTATTATGCCATATGTGAAAGTATGGACTCATACAGGAGGTCAAAAAACTCAATATACAAATGGAGACCGTTCAAACTTTTGGCTTGGCATTCCATTTGCTGACTCAGAAGACTTTATGGGTGGTATTTCAACTGTTGGTACTGTACAAATACAATATACTGGTGACAGAGACGGTCCAGATGAATTGAAAGCAAAGAAGTTTACAAAAACCAATAGCACTTTTCACGGAAGATGCTCTTTTGAAGATTCGTTCGATGAAACCTGCTGGGGCTCCTCAGATTGGCATAACGACAGCTTCCATCGAGCAGATTTGGCAGCAGGTCAGTAAGTTGTTCTTGAACTGACTTCTCTCCGTCAAATATTGACAGTACGCCAGTTTTGACATTAATATTGTATTATAAACTTACCTTTAGAAATATCTGTAAGTTTTGTTGTTATATTTTTGTCTGCTTCAAGAACTTTCACCATTTCAGTTATACCAACTTTCTTTGCTTTATGAAAATATTTTGGTTCAGCAAAGACTGCTATTCTATAACATTTTCCATTGTTTGTGTAAAGAACTATTCTATCAATGAAACTTGTATGTTTGTGTGTGTAAACTTTGTTTTGCTTCAATTCGAAGAGATACTCAAATACGTCCATCTTTTTATTCTAAGTAAAATGTCATTTCCGAAAAATAGAAGCGTAAGTGTTTCAAAAGGTTTAATGGCGGTGGCAGATGTGAAGTTAAATTCACCAACTCAAACAAACAGTCAAAGTGTTGTTGTCAATGTCAAAGAAAGAGATGTTGAAGTGGGGAAACCATACGAAGACCAAGATGGTATAACAATAGTTCCTGTAAAAGAACAACCAACATACCCTGAAGTTAGCAGAGACTTAAGTTCTGTTGCAGATATTCGAAAGAACTACCAACAACTTAAAGACAAACTTAAAACTCAGGAGAAGATTTGTCAAGCTTTGGTATAATGTTAAACTTGGTTGAGCACAACCCTGTAAAAGTGAACTCATATGTCATCGCACCTCATGAAATTTTGAAAGAACTATTGAAACTTTTGACAGAGGCAGACGATATAAACATCAAAGAAATAGAACCCGACATTGCTTGCTGTGGTGTTTCATATAATGTCATTGACAAGATATACGTTATGAAAGGAGGCGAAACGTTGAACTTAAAATATAGTTTCCCAGACGTCATAAAAATATTTGACGACCACAACATTTCATTAAAATTTATTTGCTAAGTAAATGGCAGAAGACATAGTGGTTTATACTATTACGACTAAAAACCCTGAGTCATATAATTCTATAACAACAAACTTACAAAGTCCTCAAGGACGGTATTGTAAACTAACCTTAAACACAATGACGACTAAAGCCTGTTTTGCTCTTTTGACACCAGAAGACTTTATTGTTGTGAATGGTAAAAAATACTTCTTTGAAGATACTTACTCAGATATACCACCAACAGGTTTTGTTGACTTATTTAATACTTTAAGGACGAGTGTAACATGTGCTGCAACTAGAGCAGGTTTCATTATGTTTGGATGTCCGACTGAGTTTACTATAAACAATATGAGCTATAATAAAAACTTATTCTGGTTTTTACTACCAACAGTTTCCTATAACAGGAAAAGGTGTCATACAAGGAATGTCTGTTCCATTGACTTTAAGTACACCTATTTTATATATTGTTTCAAACTTAGGTTCAAAGTGCTATTCGAATGTTGACAGAAACTACTATGACCAAAAGATACTCATGCGTATAAACAACACTTTCTCTGCTGGTTTGCCTATTGTTCATTCGAATGCAGAGTTTTCAGCTTTAGTAAACTCAAACACTTTAGCAAACATAAACTTAACCTTAGTTGACGCAAACTTTGTTCCTGTAAAACTTTTATGTCCTATGTATTTGTCAATGACGGCAGAAAGTTTCGAATTGGAAGATGCAACTGGTGAAAGTATTGTACTACAAGAACAACTTCAACAACAAATAGCTCAAGAACAAACAAATGCAACAAATAGCTCAAGAATAAAAAAAATATTTTTTTTATTTTTATAAAAATGTACAGAATAGATGTTTCAGATTTTTATGACTTCCAAGCCTTCAGAAATATGTGTCCATTTAGAGACTATAACAAAGCAGTCGAGAATTTGAAACGTTTAGTCATTTATGTCGATCTGCCCCAGAATGTTATGTTATGAAAGAATGGATGTTGTCTTTAACAAACCAAGAGCAACCATAGTTCAGAACAAGAATGTAAACAGAAACTTAAAAAATAAAAGTTGTACAAGTTGTATGAAGATGTTAGATGCTTGGGATATCTTATTGTCAAAGTTGAAGATTTTTCAGTTCGTGGTATAAGTTTTATACACCATCTCCAAACTTCTATTCTATCTTCACTGGATATAAATACGAACAAGTAGAATGGAAAGAAAATGTTATAGAAGCTTGGTTAGACCATGTCAAAGAAATTATATGCAATGGAAACGAAAGAGTCTATGAGTATATCTTATGTTGGTTTGCAAAACATCTTACAACATCCAAGGTGCAAAATGAAACTGCTCTCATTGTAATTGGAAAACAAGGAACAGGTAAGAACACTTTCTTACAGATATTTTGTGCAAACTGTTAGAGGGCTATTCGAACCCGAATATGACAAACTTAGAAAACATCTGCGGTAAATTTAACTCCTCAAAGAGAATATGAAACTTATAGTATGTAACGAACTTCAAAGTATAGATACAACAAAGGTTTTAAACTCAGATGCTTTGAAGAGTCTTATAACAGACAAAGTTGGAGTTGTTGAAAGAAAATATAAAGACCAAAGAGTTTGTGAAAATGTTGCAAATTTTCATTATGGTTTTCAACAACGCCGTTCCGATGAAGTTAGAAAGTTCTGACAGAAGATATGTAGTTGTCAGAACGTCAGATTCTCATATGCAAGATACAAATATTTGACGCTTTGTCAGAAACTTTGACATCTGACTTTTACAACCACTTGTTCTATATTTTATGACATTAGATATTCTAAGTTCAATCCAAGACAAATTCCACATACCGAAGAGAGACAAACATTTGTTAGAAGCAAACAAGAGTGTTTATGAACTGTTTATAGATGAGACTAACTTTGAGTGTTTAGATGAAAGGTCATTGTACGATGAATATAAACAATATTGCCAAGAGTATGGTTATATGACAGCGTCTAAACGAACATTCTTGGCAAATGTCAAAAATCTTTTAGATGTTCAAACGGCGTATATACAAAGAAAAATTTTTCTGAGTAAATTTTAAAAAAATATTTTTTTATCCGATAGAAAAGATGGCAAAATTCATCTCAGTAAACAAGTACATGACAGAAGTCAAAGAAGAACTAGACCCATTCGCATATTTGAATGTTTACTTCTACATTTTGAAAAGTCTACATTTGACAAAGTTTGGAACATCGAACCAGTTAAGTTTGCTATTGTGACTAAAAATGGTGCGAAATTTGAAGACTTAGACATGACGGTATGTTGACAGTCAAAGAAAATTTTGACAGAAAGTTCTCAAAAACTCGAAGAAGGCAAAGCATACAAACTTGTTATACCTTATGAACCAAAGAAAGCAGACGACTATGAATATTATGAGTCTAAGATAGTTGAAGTTCAAGGTAAATTGGGTAAAAGATTTTAGAGTCTAAACCAGTGTTTGCTCCTAAAGAGGAAGAGAACATTGACATTGACCCAGAAATGTTCTAAAAATAAAATTTTATTTTTACATGTCAAATTTCTTTTTCTCTGGTTCAGGTTCTTTCTCTCTTCTTCTACTTTCTTTCTCTTCTTCTCTCTCTTCTTCTTCTTCTCTGGTGGAGTTATGTCAAACTTCTCAGAACCATATTTTTGTAAAAGGTCTTTGTCCTTTAATAGCTCTTCTATTCTGTTTTCTATTTCATCTTCAAGAACAGCGCATGTGTCTTCTTTGCATTCTAAGAACTTTTGTTGGACTTCAGCTTTCCAATCGGCGTCATCTCTGTCAACAAGTCTGTCATTGACAAATTTTAAGACTTCTCTGCTTAATGTTTTATGGTTCTTGTCATATTCCCAGAAACAGAACTTTAGAACAAATTCACCTTTCTTGTTTACACTATGTAAGATTTTATGGTCTACAGATGTTTTGCTGTCGAAAAGCTTGTCTCGAATATAGATAGCGAAATCGCTAGACATTTTCCTAAAAGATAAAATTTTTAATTTTTCTAAAATATGTTAGAAAAAAAGTTTGCTGACATTGACAAGAAATTTGAGAATGTTTTTAAACAAGAACAAGAGGAAGTTAGAAATGCTCAGATAAAGCCTATACATGACAAGTTCTTATTTGCTCAGAATGGTATAACAGGTCTAATTGCCACCTGGGTCGGGTAAGACTTTCACTTATCTTAAAATGGCTGCGCAACAACAAAACTAGATAGAGAGAACCCATTCTATGAGTTAGTTGTTATTTGTAGTACTT